AGCTGCTTTATGCTCTCGTGGTAAATCCCAACTGCCTGCTTCTAAGGTTAGTGTAACTCCTCACCCACTGGGCCCTAGTTTAACCATTTTTAAATGTATAATCGATCCACAGTATTTGCACTCTCCGTGGTAACGTGGAGTTGTGTTAGACCCCATTCTACTTCAAGGGGAGAAAAGAGAGCTAAATGTTTTTACACCTTTGCCTGAAGCAGGGCTAAGCTGAGGATGAGAAGCTAAAGCTGAGACCTGCCGATGGACTCGATCAGAGTAGCAGCTGTCCTGATTGGAAAACTGTCCCTGAGTTGTCCTGTGTCTTCCAAATTGATCCTGAATGACTATAATTTGTTAGTTCCCTGAGCGTGACTCTTGCAGCAGATTATCTAACCCAGCAGAGGAGTTAAGGGAGGCGGGTGTCAGAACTGGTAAAAGGTTGGGGAGAGGAGATGTATCAGCCCTCTGCCTCATGGGCATTGGCTTTGGGTCAATGTTGATCTCAATTCTCTCCCCCCAGGAAGTATACTGAAGTCTGATGCCACGCTATCTTTTTTTTTAATTTAATAATACATTTTTATTTAATGAATGTTGCCTTGTCTTTCAATTCCATTGTCCATCAATATCACTACAGTTCCTCCAAAGCTTGTATATAAAATTCATCTTCAAGAGAACCCTTGAACCACTAATGTTCCTTCAATATAGATTTCTGGAGGTCACCACATGCTTCTGTGCAATACTGCCACTGGACAGAGCTTGAAGAGTTAGGGGAGAAATGAAGTTTTAAAATTTCTAATTCCACTCAAACAATGGAAACAAACTGGGGCATAAAAATGTGCCCAACAGGTTGAATGCTAGCAAGGTAGCAAAAAAGAAAACCTACTGGCTATTATTTTATGGTCAAGTCCACAGCAAATCAGAAACTTCATTCTAAAAGCCTTGGTAATGACCAACGCTATCTTTTCTAAAAAAATGCAGCTGTCATCACATTATCTAATTTTCATTTATGCCTGTACCTAAGTGTTTCATAGATATGGGATCATACATGTGTGTCTTTTATGTCTGGTTTAATTTATAGAGCATCATCCATGTTGTGGCACGTGTTAGAACTTCATTTATCTTTGTGTCTAAAGACATTTTTATCTCTCAAGTGTGATGGTTCAAGCTATGTGCCTTCTTGGCTAGGCCATGGCTTTTAATGTTTGCCAGATAATATGTGGTCACTCTCTGTTTTGTAGTCTGAGGAGAGCAGCAAGTCATGAGAGGGGAGTTTTCCTTGGAGGTGTGATCTGCATGAGATCTATACGGATGTTCTGGTCAAGCTTGCTATCTTGGTCCTGCATGTGACTCATCATCCTCTGACCTCCAGCTCTTGGGACGTGAGCCAGCAACCTTCTGTCAAACCTACAGGCCTTCTGTCAGCTCCCTCTGTGTCCTGCTGGCAGACAGGGTTTGCCAGCCCAGAAACTATGTTGGCACAGTGTTGCAATGATGGATGATTGTTGGCTGTCTGCATCCTTGTTGGGTATTTAAGTTTTGTTTCTTTGTTGTGGGAGTTGGAACCAACTTGTAGCTGACCCTTCAGCAGTAATTCATTGTTGTTGTTATGTGCCGTCGAGTCACCTGCGACTCATAGTGACCCTAATGAGTAATTCATAATCATATGAAATTTTTATGATTTTCATAAATCATATGGAACAAAATTGCCTATCATTCTTTCTCAGAGCAGCTGGTGGATACAAACAATGTACCTTTTGGTATTGCAGCATAACTTCTCACCTAGGCCACCAGAACCCTGTCCAGGTCTCCGTCTGAGTTGCACAAGAATCTGCGGCCCATATTGACTCTCTGGTGGTTCTTTTTTGCTAATGGTGAAATTCCCATTTTTCTGCCTCTAAACCTGCTTAATTTTCAGTCAGGAGACCACCGATCTGCCAGTTTGGGGCTCCAAGCCTCCCCTGTTACATGAGCCGTATCCATGAAATCAGTCTCTTTCTCTCTCTGTTTAGATACATGGATATCCTTTGTTTTTAGAAAGTTTATACAACTTTTCTTCTGAACATCATTTTCTCTTTCATAAAGAAAATAGCAGACCTAGTATCCAGCAATGTTTGTTTTGCAGCAAACTGTTGAAGCAGGGAGATTGGCATCTCCAGGCCCTTCCTGAGGACCGCCATAGCCCTGACCTGTGTGGTCATTGAACTAGGAGCAATTTAGGTTCTGTGCATCATTTGGTAGGTTGCATTTTGGGTCTGGGAATGCTCAAATATTTCCCATATAAATTAATAGTAACTGCTTCTTCACTTTATGCTACTTTGATTTATTAGAGGGTTCAAAGGCTCTACTTTCAGAAAGCAGGAGAATTCTGTTATAAGAAGAGTGTGGCTAGCTGAGGGCAGCTGAGTGTGATCTCCACTAACTCCAAAAGGAGGGAGTTCCCACACATAGTAACATCCACAGCATGAAGCCTGTTCCCATGAGATTATACAGGCTCCACCTAATCCCCACCTACTGCTGTCAACTGTCTCCATGAGGATTCTCCATGCTCTGCAACTGGGCCCACTATCCCATTGCAATGACCACATGGAGCCACAGGCAATATTTACGATTACCAGGTTGATGAGGGAAAGTTGCAGGCTGCAATTGAGGTTGAAAACAGAATCCAATTCATCTGTAGGAACAATGTGTCAGCCTTGTGGCTTCAGCCCAGCATTACAAAGCTCTCCTAGTCCTGCTGCTGATGGCATCTCTCCCAGCCAGTACTCCAGCAGCCTGAGCTCTGGCTCCCCAGGCAGTAGTCTCAGGTCACCTCTGTCTCTCATTGCTCTCTGCTCTTCTGCTCTTGCTGATCTCATTTATGTCATCGTCTGAGTCGTGCAGCAATCTCTGGTTCAAATGGATGCGCGGATTCTTCTTTCCTGCTGATAGCAAAATTCCCATTTCCTGCCACTAAACCTGCTCAGTTTAAATTTGGCATAAGGCAAGACTGCCACTTATTAGTGTTCTACGCACCTTGCTTGCAGGTTTCCACCCAAAAAGTGCTGCCTGTTTTGTTCCCATAACTGCATAGTCCCACCCCATCACTTGACACAAGTCAGAGGATGGGCCAGGAAAGCCCCCTGTGCACACCTCACTGGTTTGCCCCTCTAAGGAACCCAGTGTAAAGCAGTGCGTGTGGACCAGGTGTTGTTGATCTGTTGATGGATACTGGTTTGTTCTCACCTTTTAGGTACTGTAACCAATGTGGCAACCATCATTTTCATGCTGATCTATGTCAGCATCCCTGCCTCATGCCTTCTGTGTACAGATGTAGGAGAGGAATTGCTAGGTCACATAACAGCTCCATGTTTAACTTTCTTTTCATTGTCATTTGGGTGAAAGTTTACAGAGTAAGTTGGCTTTCCATTCAGTGTCCACATATTCATACCCGTGGCGGCTGGCTTCTGCAAGCAGCCACACTCTTAGCACTTCCTGCCTGGGTCTCCTACGTCTATTATCTTTCTTTGCGTGCATCTCCTACCTCTGAGCCTTGTTTTTATGCAGATGCTGCCCTTTTGGTCTTGTGTGGCTCATTCTCCTGAGGAGGGCATTCCTGCTGTCCTTAATTACTTGATAGACCTGCTTGTTGTTTGGAGGAAAGTTGATTCCTTGAGTGGGTTTCCGTGTTCAATATTTTAAAGAATCATCCAGTGCCCTCAACAGAGACTGCACCACTTTACATCCCCACTAGCAAGGTGTGAGGGTATGAATACTTAATTTGCGTGTTGACATTTAAAGCCAGGGACACCAGCATTAAAATTATTCTAGCTGGAACATTGCTCTTCTCCATTAGGACCTGATCATGGGGTCTCCAAGCACTGGAGATGGAAACAGGGCTAAGATTTTTAAAAGATACAAGATCTTTGTGGACAAATTCCCCAAAGAAGTTGTTAAATGGTATAAAATGTGGCAATGGGGAGGGGAAAAGCACCTGAAAACTGGTCGACCACCAGCAGCTTGGGGCCTTTCCTTGGTTGATTCTCAGACTCCTCTCAGAGCACCTTTGTTGCTCCATCCAGTCACAGCCTATACCATTTACTGAGCACCAGCATGGGCTGGGGACCACCGTGACCCCTGGGGATGCCAAGGCCTCCATGGTTCTGCTAGCTGCTCACTCTTTTATAATCTCTGCTAACGTGGCGTAGATTGTTTCCATCACTTTAATGGGTCAGCCCGACACAGACCTCCTTATCATTGGCAATCTTCCTGCTCCTGATGGACGCTGGGAAGTCCGCCGAGTCAGCAGGTTTGCAGAGCTCCCTACTGTCTAAGCTTGTTTACCCGCTCGTCCCAGGAGGGGCTCCAGGCTGTGGAGAGAAGATCCTAACTCAGGTCTCTGTGTGATAATGTGGGGAAGACATGAGAAGATGCTGTTTTTTCTGCATCCCACCTAGGTTGGGGAACAGGCTGGGCACAGATTCGGGGGTCCCCATGATTCTGAGACCTCTGTTTTTGTCAGTGGAATGGGGTACCGCTTCTGCCTTGTTGGATTGTTAGCAAGTTGTATGAGTGAACATTTAAGAGGTGCTGGCCCCACTTGCATCCCACGTGCTTCTTTGACATGCCCTGACAGACCTTAGGGAGTACCAGAGAGCTTGTGACTGCCAAGAGGTTGGATTGCCTGATGTGCCTGCCAGTGAGCCCATCTGTGCCCTCCTCACCTCTCTTCTAGTGACGTCCCCTCAGGAGACCCCTCAGGGTTCTCTCCAGGATCCTGTGGCAGCACTCCAGCCCTGACCTCCTCGTCCAGTGGCCAGGTGTGACTGACGAGGAGATGCAGGGACCGCCTTTGTCCACAGACCATCTGTCCCATGGGCAGAGCCTGTGCCTGTTATCTGGTCACCGAGGTGGCCACTGTAGGCTCTTTGTTATGATGCAAACATTGGGGTGCTGTTGTCGGTCTCTGAGAGGGGGAGGCCTCCAAGAGGGTGAGCACAAAGCTGACTGCTGCCCTACTCTTCCTCTTGCAGAGCCCACAACCATGGTGGTGTCACCAGGCAGCTCGGAAGCCCAGGTATGTATGGTGAGAGTAATTTCTGAGGTGACCTGATGCATGTCAGGGACAAAAAATTGGGTAGCTTGCAAGGGCCCCGCCTCCCAGGAGCCAGTCCAACTTGCCTAGGGGGAGTGGGAGGCAGTGATACACTAGCTGTTCTAGAATGGTATAAAGGGAAGAATGTATTGGTAATTCAGTATGTCACAGTAGTTAACAAACCTTAATAAGTCTCCTACTTCAAGTGTGAACATGCTGCTTAAACCAACTCCTGCCCTCACAAAGTCAGGAGGCAGATGAGACCCTGCCCATCCTTTTTGTATGTTGACAGAAACACAGCACGGGCTCTAAGCTTTCTATGATTTGTGGTTGTATTGTAAAACTCTTTGAGGATTTCTGTTCACCTGCACATATCTCCTGTGACCCATGTTCCCATGGCACCTCTTTTTCCAGTCTTTTACTTCTTCACAGCCACTTGGACCGGCATCTAGGGTGTTAGGACAGAGATCCAGCCCTCCCCCCTACATTTGGAGGCTTTTAACAAAGACCTGTGGACCAGGTTTCCAATTGGGCTGTCTCAGGGGTCCATGAGTTAACCTGATATGCCTGCCCCTCTCTGGGAAATGCAGCCAGCCTCTTTTCACATTAATCTAGCTCCTTAGATGCTAGATTTCACAAATATCCTAACCTTAGTGCAGGACTCTCCCCGAGGCCCTTCAGTGCTGGAATGTCAGATTCTTGGGTTTTCACACCTGTGCCCACCAGCCCAGAGTTCCCTGTTGGCTCAGGTATAGGCAAGGTGGGACTGGCAGGTTTCCAGACTTGGGTCAGTTGTCCAGATTTGTCCCCTGGAGGCAGCACTGTCTTCTGGAATGGGAGGGACAGCAGGGCTCTCAGACATAGAGGGCAGGATTGGATAAACCCCTTAGTTTCCCAGGTGCCAGCTCAGGCCAGCGACACAGGGAAGGGAGCAAGTCCCTGGAGGATCTCCTGACTTGACCTTCACTACCCACAACCGTGCATTAGCATGGTCACCGTGGAGTGATGAACCAGAGCTACCAGAATAGGACATTCTCCCTCCCCACTTGTGGGCATTCATGGCACTGCAACCTATAGAGTGGACTGCCTCAGTCCCTATAACTGAGCCCGTTTTTGTACAAGGCAGGGGGTAGGTGGACATCAGGGGTGCTCGCCAGGAGTCCACTGCCTAGACGATCCATCTTGACTGGCAGGGCCCTGGTGCCACCCCTGTGTGCAACCAGTCAGGGTGACCAGGCGTGAGGTTTAGAGTGGCCGTGCCCTCTGACCCAGGCTTCTTGGCCTGGTTCCTAGGTGTGACTGGGAGCACCAAGCAGATAAGTGCTTGAGGAAGGCTGCCTGTGTTAACAGAGGCTGGGACTTTGCTCTTCTTCCACACACTCCCAGGACATGCAGAGCTTTTTCTAAATCATTTTCCCAGAAGGCAGGGTGAAGGAAGTGCTGTCCCCCAGCCCTTGTCCCTACGACTCTGGGGCAGTGGATGACAGTCTCTGTGTTACTCCCTGAGGGCATCAGCCAGGGACCCCTGCCCAGGGGTGGGATGGGATGAGAAGAGTTTATTGGTGATGTCTGGATATCCGCCTGCAATGGAATCTGCTCATGAGGACTTGGGTTTGGCTTGCCTGGCTCCTGGAGCAGAGGTGTGAGCCTGGCCCTGTAGCCGTTATTCACTTTGTCAGGACATAGCCTTGTACCACTCACCCACTTACCATGCATGGCTACACAGGCTGTGTCCAAGGCTGGCTTTATAAGCTTTGAGACCAAGTCTTGTGCAGATGTGGGCTGTGCCAGTCTTGGCTAAATGCCGAGAATGGGATCACTTGGCACATAATAGTTGCAAAGCGACAATCTTCTGGGACACAGCCTGCCAGCTGTCCCATGAGTCCCCTGGGGTGAGCGGGTGGTTCCTTGTCTTCACTGCAGCAGCCATGGGTCTCTACTTCAAGCCTGTAATGCAGGACAAGGTCCATGCCCCTCAGCTGTGGTTCCCCAGACCAGTGGGACATTCTGCCCTACCTTATGGCTGGGTGCCTGGCCTGCCCACTACCTGCTTGCCCGGTGGATCCACCTGTCCATACTTGCAGTGGGGCACCCTGCTTGAGTTTGCAAATACCAGGTCCCTGCTGCATTCGTGAGTGGCCATACCCCTGCCCTGCCTAGTGGAATCCTCACCACTCTCCCCCCATGCCTGGCACGTCCACTGACTGCCCTCCCAATCCCGCAGATGGTGCAGTCACTGGGCTTCGCCATCTACCGCGCACTGGACTGGGGCCTGGATGAGAGTGAGGAGCGTGAGCTTAGCCCCCAACTGGAGAGGCTTATTGACCTCATGGCCAACAGCGATGGTGATGACAGCAGCTGTGGGGCCGACGAGGGCTATGGAGGCCCAGAGGAGGAGGAGGAGGCCGAGGGCAGCCCGCGAGCAGTGCGTACCTTTGCTCAGGCCATGCGGCTGTGTGCTGCGCGCCTGACAGAGCCCCGTGGGGCACAGGTGCACTACCAGGCTGTGTGCCGCGCACTCTTCTTGGAGACGCTGGAGCTGCGCGCCTTCCTCGCCCGTGTGCGAGAGGCCAAGGAGGTGGGCAACGGGGCTGGGTGGGGGGGAGCCCGTGGGCATCCAAACCTCTGTGCTGTCCCTCTGTCTGTCCAACAAGGAGTGGAAACCCTCATTGAATCTGGCAGTGAGGCCTCGCCACAGTACCTCATCCTCACCCTGTGGCAGACACCCCAGGCACTTGATGCATTTAAACTCATGCTTACTCACTGCTCTCCTTCGGCACCTCTTCCGTGAAAAGGACCCAAAGCAGATGAGTGGCCTGCCAAGCTCTCTTAGCTTGAGTGGTGGCAGAAAATGGTTTTGAAATCACCTGGTGCTGGTCCTTGATTGCACTCTGACCTGACCAGCTTCCTTGACCCCACTAATGCAGGTAATAGTAGTCAGGGCCCTGCTTGGTCCACATTACCACCTTGGGGCCTCTCAGGCCTTGCCTGCTCCCCCCGGCACTCTCAGCATCTCTGGACCAGGATTAGCTGATGGTCCTGCAGCTTTGGGGCCTGTCACTCACTCACAGTTGATCTGTGTTCCTTTGCTAAAGAGCAACTCTCCAGACAGCACAGTCTTGAACAAAGACCCCCCAGAAGCTGCCCTGGCAGTGCCAGTGGTATGAGCAGTGGGGGTGGTATGAGCAGTGGGAGGAGGGATGCCAGGGCACACCTGGGATCTGTCATTGGAATCCATACACCAGTCTCTCAGAGAGTTGGTGATACTTCACAGAGCATGCCAAAGCACATTGGCAAGTGACTTGGGGCAAGAGGCAGGTGACCAGTTCTGTCTTGGTTTGGTTGTTGGGGGGAAGGGATGTTGTATGCTAAAATGTAGATGATTTTCCAGGTGGGGGAGTTAAGGAGGACTCGGAACCCCTGCTGCAACAGGGAGGCACCCCAGGCCACCACACCAGCAAGTCTAATGGGTTCTGCCCAGATTGTCATCGTAGGATAATGACCTCTATTCCTGGGTGTAGTGGCTTCTACCCAGATTCTCAGTTACTTCTGTCCCTGGTGGCTTGCGGGCTGCTAACTGAAAGCAGATCCACCAGGTACTTTGTGAGAGATAACAATCTGCTCCTGTTATAAGGTACAGCCTGGGACTGTGAGAGAGGGCCACTGGAGTCAAAATTGACTTGACAGCAGTGGGTTTGTGTTTTTAAAATATTTTCAAACACCTTCTTTGATCCTTCATACTAATGGCAGCATTTTTCCTAGTTCAGCAATTATAGACCGGTGACTGATTCCCAGGACTGGTTGGGTAGCTCACTTGCCCTCCCATCTGTCTACTTACTGGTCTACCCACTCATCCAGCCATCCATTTATCTATCTCCCCACCATCCACCTAACCACCCATCTATCTATCACCCATCCATCTATCCATCCTTCCATTCATCCGTCTATCCACCTACCAATCTAGTCACCCTTCATCCATTGTCCACCCATCTATCCACTATCCACCTATTCACATATCCGCCCTTTCATTCATTTACCCTTCTGTTCATCCACCTTTTTATCAATCTGTCTGTTCATCTACTCACTGATTCACCATCCACCAATACATACACCCAGATTTCCACCCATGTATCCACTCACCCATCTACCCACAGGCCATCATCCACCTATCCATCCCCCTATCCATCTGTTTAACCACCCACCAATCTATTCTTCTCCCCATCCATCCATCTATCCACTCCCTTTCAACCTACCCAGCCATCCACTCACCCACTCTCCCTTCCACCCCTCTAACTATCCACCCCACCTGCCCATCCATCCACTCACTCACGCATCCTATTCAGCCTTCCATTGTTCATCTATTCCTTACCCATTTATTCATTCATCTAGTATGTGGCATTGTTTTTGCTGCCAAGAATAGGAAGATGAGGGAAGGAAAAAAAAATAGAATATGTGGAGTCCACAGTCTAAGGGGAGCAACAGGTATTAGTAAAGATTGGTATTATATCCATGGAGGGTAGGCCTTTGGTTGTCCTATGGAGGAGTCTGGGTCCTTTGCAGACAAGCTGAGGGTCTGGTCCGTATTTACTTCTGAGGTCAGACAGGAAACATCTGCAGGGGGCTGTGAGCACACACTGAGTCTAGGGTTGCTGTAGATGTTTCCTCTCATCCATCCTGCCCCAGTGGGAACTGCCAAAGAAAGCCATAGAATCAGGTCAATTGGTTGGGCAGCTGCCACCCCCCACCATCTACTAGACTCATGAGGCCTGGCATATGGTTGGGCAGTGGCCTGAGCAGTGGGGACTCAGGGCTCATGTCTGCTTGGTTAATGAGACCTGGCCCGTGATTGCAGATGCTACAGAAGTTTCGGGAGGATGAGCCACCGGCAGAGAAGCCCCCAGCAGAGCTCAATGACCTAGGGCGCACAGACTGGGTAAGAGTGGGTGCAGGCCAAGTTCAACCTTCCCCACCCCATGCTTGGGGGTGGAGTGAGAGCTCGGCCCAGGTTTAAGGACCATTGTCCTCCTCCATTCACAGGCCAGACTCTGGGTCCAGCTCATGCGGGAGCTTCGCCACGGAGTGAAACTCAAGAAGGTGCAGGAACAGGAGTTCAACCCGCTGCCCACTGAATTCCAGCTGACTCCCTTTGAGATGCTCATGCAGGACATCCGTGCCCGCAACTACAAGCTGCGGAAAGTCATGGTACATGGACAAAGACGTGGCTGAGTGAGGGTCTGCCCTCTGTCCTCCTGGCCCAGCAGTAGCAGTGGAAACCCTGCCCTGTGCTGGGGTTGGAACTGGACCCTAGGCTATGAAGGAGATGGACGTGGCATTTACCTTGGCCTCCTAGCTATACTGAGGGCTTTAGATAGTGTGATGGGTGGAAGAAAATGTGCAGATTCTGGAAGGCAGGGCATCAGAGCGCATGCTCTTCTCTCTAATGCAGACTTGCACACACGCTCTAAACCTGTTTAGTCATGACCAAGAAAACCAAAACTGACCCCAGTTTGTATAAAAGTTGGGTGATTCGAAACAGTACCTGGATAAATTTCTGTGGAAGATCTAGAAAGGGAGACTTGGAAAAGGCATAGTGAGCTTTTTCAAGAGCTGGAGTCAAGAGATTGGATTCTTGCTGAGACTGAAGAGTAAGGACACATTCCAAGGGGCTTGGCCGGCCGCCATCTTTGAGCAGCACACCATTGTTTCCATCTCTGCTCAGATTTTGATGAATCAGACACTGGATTCCTGCACAAATACCACACACATGCTGCCTTTGCTTTCTGAGGGGGAGATGACGTTTCCGGCAATGCTTCTCACTCCTCCAAAAAGGGAATGTGCTTGCCCACACCCACATGTAGACATGAGAGGTCAGACAGCCAGTGGTTGGCTAGTGGTGGTGCCAATCCCAAATGTAGCTGCCACTGTGGAGTGTGTATCAGTACAAGGAGTCGTCCTGTCCTGAGTGGAAGCCCTAGAAGGAAGCTGGGTGGGCCGGGTGGGCCCAGTCCATCCAGAATGGGCTGGGGTGTGAGACTAAAGGCCCACAGCATGTGAGTTTGGTCCTCAGCCTTGACCACCTTCCTATCTCCCTGCAGGTTGATGGGGACATCCCTCCCAGAGTGAAGAAGGACGCCCATGAGATCATCCTGGACTTTATCCGCTCGCGGCCACCACTAAAACAGGTACTGACCATCTCCCTCCACCTCACCCCCTCTAGTGGATGTTTCAGTGCCCTGTGGCCCTCACTGGTAAAGGCCCATTCTTGCCCATATGCACCATCCACGGCCTAGGACTTCTGCATCTGGTGGGGAAAGTGATTGCCACCTTGTTGCCCCAACCCACATGGGGCCCCTGACTCTTCCTAGCTGTGTGCACACCTGATGGCTCCCATGGGGCTCCTCATTCCCTCTGGCCACCTGTCCTGTAGGTCTCGGAGAGGCGACTACGCCCATTACCACAGAAGCAGAGGACCCTGCATGAGAAGATCCTAGAGGAGATCAAGCAGGAGCGAAAGCTGCGGCCCGTGGGTGTCTCACCCTGGGATGGCCGCGGTGAGGGCCTACCCGTGTGCTCCCCATCCTCTTGCTTCCATGGTCACAGCACCCGCACGTGTGCTTACTGCTCCCTGCCCCTCGCCGCATTCTCCCACACACTACCCCCCTGGTTCTGCTCCCTGCCTGCATCACTGCCCTCTCCTCCTGTACTGCCCCCCAGGGGTTGGCTCCCGCATCCTCACTGCCTCCTCCCCAGCTCACTACCCGCCCAGGGTTCTGCTCCCTGCGTCACTGCCTTCCTCACTGCTCCCATCTCACGGCTCACTGCCCTTCCCGGACACTACCCCCCAGGGTTCGGCTCCCTGCCCTGCATCCTCAACGCCTGCTCCGGGGACCTTAAGTCCACTTCCTGCATGAACCTGTCCGTCCCAGATGCCAGCAGCAGCACCCAGCGTCCACGACCCCGGGTCCTGCTCAAAGCACCTACCTTGGCTGAGATGGAAGAGATGACCACATCAGAGGTCAGAGCCACTGAGAGGTGATAGGGTGGGGATGGAAGACGGCAGGTGCTGAGGAGGTGCAAGTGGGAGTGGTGGATGGCTGAGGGTGTGGTAGGGCTGCTTCCTTCAGGGTCTGCCCATTGCCCATGTCCTTTTGGTCACTTGGGTCTCTGAGCCTGGGTCTGGGGCATCCAGGCACTAGGGGCAGAGCTGTTAGGGCTGTGTCCTGCCTGCAGGAGGAAGAGTCCCCATGCGGAGAGATGACCATGAAGCGGGATCGCTCCTTCTCCGAGCATGACCTTGCCCAGCTCCGGAGTGAGATGGCCTCAGGCCTGCCAGCCTCTGAGCCCTCGGTGGAGAGGAAGCCAGCAGCCAGGCCTCGAGCAGGCAGTGTGCACACCTGGAGACCCAGCTCCCAGGACCACGACAGGGGCAAGTGCTCCACCTCCCCAACTCACTCTACGCCCCCTGCTTTGCCATCCACTTGAGTAGGCACAGCCTCAGGCAGGAGAGAGCCCCTCTTTGTACTCATAATTTCTGTTAATTGGTCCATATTTTTTTATAAGACTGCTTATAGATACAACTTAAAAGAAAAAAATTCTCATGTTATCTAGAGGTAATCGTTTACATGGTGAGAGATAGACGCAGGTAGAGAGAGGTAAATCAGATCAAATGGCAGGTGGGCAGACAGGCAAGGAAGAAAGACAGGTAGATAAGTCAACATATAGCAGGTAGGTAGGTAGGTATATAGCATAGATACAGAGGCTGGCAGGTTGGTAGAAGAGTAGACAGGAAGGCATACAGCAGGTAGATATATAGGTAGGCATAAAGCAGGTGGATGGGTAGCTAAGTAGACAGGTAGGCATAGAGCAGGTAGGTAGATAAACAGGTAGTAGATAGGCAGACAGTCATACAGGAGGTATATAAATGGCTGGGCAGATTTTACTTGCTGCCGTCAAGTCTGTCTTGACCCATGGATGCCCCATGGTATTCTCAGGGGCTGGTTTTTTTTCAGCAGTAGGTTGCCAGTCCTTTCTTCTGAAGTACCTCTGGGCAGACTTTAACCTCAGCCTTTCCACTGGCAGCCAAGCTTGTTAAGCGTTTGTACCTCAGGGGTTCCATGGGCATAAAGGCAGATAGAAGGTTAGAGACAGACAGAATGGTTGGCAGACTCACATTTCCAAGGCTTCACAGTGGGTGGATGCGCTCACTTGTGGCAAGCCACGTGGGTGCAGGTAGCATGTCTACATCTGACTGATATCCGTGCTCTTTCCCAGGTTCCGCCACTGTGAGTGTCCAGGCTCAGCTTGACCCGGGCCTACCATTCAGCAGCCTAGAGCCAGTGGAGGGGAGGTCTGAGGCTGTCTCCACCCTGGACAGCCAGGCCAAGCACTTGTGGCTGGTGAGTGAGGGGCACATCCCAAGGACCTGGCTAAGCTGTCCAGATGAGGCTCTACTCTGGGCAAGAGGTACAGGAGTGGTGGCCCTCAGCCAACTGATCCCTTAGCAAGCAAGGCTCTCCGTGTCCTGTTGTGTCTCAGAGCCTGCTGGTGTCTGCTGCCTCCTGCTGGAAAGTTTGGGAATTGTGGCCAGACCCAGCAGAGACCCCGCTGAGGAACAGTCCTGGAAGCCTTGTACCTGGCTTCCTCAGCTATGAATTTGGTCTGCCCTGTGATTGTGAGCCCTGGTGACACAGTGTGTTATATGTTGGGCTGCTAATGAAAGGTCAGCACTTCAAACCATCAGCCAGTCCATTGGAGAAAGGCAGGTGGCCTCTTGAGGTTTTATCTAGAGGCTAGGATTTGAATAGATATGAAAGGCCTTAGAACAGCACTAGTGCTTTATGAGGTGCTCAACTCCACTTTGAGTCTGCTGGTCTTTTGTGGCCACAGAACAGGTTATCCTGACAGCAGGCATGGTTCCTACAGTAGCCTCTAGAGGTCCAGAGCGGTTTAGAGGAGTGGTTCTAAGTGTGGTCTCTAGAAGAACCCATTCTTTCCAAAGGACCAGCACTAAGCTGGGGTCTATGAGGTACAGGCCAGAAATGCCCCAAACACCTACACTCTCCAAACTGCTAGGCTACAGCATCACCTCTACAATCCCTCAGTCCTCTACCTCTTGTCTTGGAGTTCAGTAATTCCCAGGACCCACACTGCATATGACTGTGGGGTCTGCTAGGGAAGTCAGGGATAACCCATCATGTTAATTTTGGCGGCCGTCTCTAGTGGAACTCAGTGTTATGCCATCTTCCTCTGTGTTTTTCAGACTTGTCAGGGAAGCTAGTTCTGTGGCAGGTTCAGGACCCTCATCATTTTTAAGGCAAGACCTTGTCCAGCATGACTACAAATTAACCAATCCCCTACAAGAGTGCAACGTACCTTACTTGCATGAGCAGGCTGTGCAGTCCCCTTGGTGTGCAACAAGCAGGTTATTTACACAGTCCCATCCCTTAAGGGTTCCATACACCTTATTTGCATAGCCACGTCTTCCAGGGGGTATATAATATCATGATAGATGGGGGAAAAGATTCAAACTGTCAACAACTTCACCTTACTTGGATACACAATCAATACACTTGGCACCAGCTGTCAGGAGATCAGGAGACATATTGCACTGGGTAAAGTCTGTAGCCAGGGACCTCTCCAAATCACTAAGGAACAATGATGTTAGGTTGAGGACTAAGGTGCGACTGATTCAGACCATAGTCTTTTCAGTCACTTGCTATACATCTGAGAGCTCGACAGTGAATAAGGATGACAGAAAAGAATTGATGAGCTCTGGTGTTGGAGAATAGTACTGAATATCCCATGAGCTGCTAAAGAGCAGATATGTCTTGGAGAAGGTACAGCCAGAGTGCTCCTTGGAGGCAAGAATGCCAAAGCTTCATCTCATATACTTTGGGCATGTGGCTAGGAGAGGCTATTCCTTGGAGAAGGACATCATGCTTGCAAAGGTGGAGGGTTAGCAAAAGAGAGGAAGACCCTCAATGAGATGAATTGACACAGTTACTACACTAATGGATTTGAGTGTGTCCAAGATTGGAATAGGACAGGGTTCATTCAGATCTGTTGTTCATAGGGTCGCTATGAAGCGTACTCAACTTGATGACACCTAACAACAGTCCTCAAGGGAAGCTCTGTTGGCCTAGTGATAAAACTGTGCTGCATCAAAGGCACGTCATTCAAATCCACCAGTTGTTCCATGGGAGAAGGATGGGCAGTCTCCTCTCATGTTATTTACTGCCTCTGAAAACCCACTTGCGGTTCAGCTGTCTGTTGGTTCTAACTCAAGGCACAGAACAATAACCTTTGAGGTCCATGTACCTTATTTGCATAGCTGCACCCTCAAGAGGGACTGTGTGTGCTGTTTCCATAGCCCCACCCCTTCAGGTGTTCCATGCCCTTTATTTGCATGAACAGGCTGTCCAGACCCCGTGGTGGATTATAAGAACCTCACTTGCCTAGTCCCACTTAGTCACTATGTGAGTTACTTGACCATGGGGAGAAGGATATATGTCATTTACTGCTCCTGGGTCTCTCATGATGTTCCTGTGACAATGTCAGCCAAGACCACCAGCTCTAGGGGCTCATGTGAAGTTGGAGCATCCACCTGCAGGTAACTTCTTGTAGGCAGGTAACCTCAATGCTTGCCCCAAAGCCCTTCCTCAGAGCTTCCAGAGTGTCTTCGTGACATGGCAGCCAGCTTCCCCTTGAGTGGGTGAAACAAGGTACTTCTCTGCACTGAGGAATCTTGTGTCTTCCTGACTTCAATGCAAGTTTAGCTCAGCAACTTCCACTGAAGAACACTTGTTCATCACCTTGGCTGCTTGGAAGGCCAAGGTCTTCAGTTGAACAGATGTTTTACGAACCAGCTGGGCTAAACCTGGATTGGTCCTCAGTGAATACACACTTGGGAGAGACCCCTGATTGAGAAGCCTGTGCCCTGAGGTCTTGAGTGAGCCTTGACCTTGTCCTGCCTCAGGAGTTCAGCCATCCTGTGGAAAGCCTGGCACTGACTGTGGAGGAGGTGATGGACGTGCGCCGTGTGCTGGTAAAGGCTGAGATGGAGAAGTTCCTGCAGAACAAAGAGCTCTACAACAACCTGAAGAAGGGGAAGGTGAGGGGACCAGTGTGCACCTTGAGGGGTGAGGCACAGGTGAGGGGACCAGTGTGCACCTTGAGGGGTGAGGCACAGGTGAGGGGACCACGGTGCTCATGAGGGGTGAGGCACAGGTGAGGGCACCAGGGTGCACCTTGAGGGGTGGCACACAGATGAGGGGACCAGGGTGCCTCTCGTGGGGTGGGGCACAGGGTGGTGAGGGGACCAGGGTGCCTCTCATGGAGTGGGGCACAGGCGAGGGGAGTGGGAGCGCAGATAAGAGGGACCAGGGCTGCCCTTTACTGGAAAGAGTCACAGGTAAGGGAGATGGTAGCATAGGTGAGAAAGAGACCGGGCCTGTGGAGCACAGGTGGAGGGACTGGGGCCTCTCTTTACCTGACAGGGCACAGGGGAGGATGAGGTAGGGGTTTTGGACAAACTGACTCTACCTAGGCTGTTCCCTACAGATATGCTGCTGCTGTCGGATCAAGTTCCCACTCTTCTCCTGGCCACAAACCTGTCTCTTTTGTAAGAGGTGAGCCTTTCTGTTGATGCCCATACAATGTCTCAGTGCCTCCATTGTGCATTAGCCTGTTAGCTGGGGCGGAGATGGTGGCGAGACGTGTGGCATGGCACGACTTCAGGGAGGCACATGCAGGGACAGAGCATCCAGGGTGGGGATGCACTTCTCTGGCCAGCAGGAAAGTACCAGGTGACAGAATGAACTGCTCAAGACTTTAGTTAGTCAAGAGGGTAAGGGGAGAGAAACTCAGTGGGGAGCGAGCAGGGGGAGGCCAGGGTAAAGCCAGCAGGAGTGGGATGTATGTCACAGACAAGAGAGGCTAGGGTAGACATTTCTGCTCACTAGAACTGAGACCGCTTTCCCTCCTTTCTCTTCCAGAGCTGTCTGCTCTTCGTGTAGTGTCAAGGTGAGGCTGTGTCCTGGAGTCTAAGTGGTATGTGACTTGCGGTTTGGGTGGAAGGCTCACCTATCTCCCACTGGACAACTCCACGCTCCCGTCACCTTGTCTTTTTCCTCCAGAACTTTCCAACACTGCATCTGTCTCTGTTGGTTTTGTCCTTTAAACATAAACATTCTTTGTCAGTAGGATGGTGCCAACCCTTTCACTTCCCCGTAAAACTCCTCTATCCTCTACAGCATCTTCCTGAGGTTTGGGAGAAGGCCCTTTCTAGCAGACAGTGAGACTGTGCGTGGCACACAATGGTGTTACATCAGTAACATCCCGCCTCCACTCAGAAGAGTCAGCTCAGGCACAGGTTCCCTCACCACTTATTTTAAACCCTTCCTCTGTGTCCTGCCACTTGGCAGTGCAAACCTCTCGATGCATCAGCATTAAACCTTTTTTGAGGGTAGGCTGGGTCCTGTGTGGTAGAAAAGGCAGTCCCCACCCTCTGGGAACTCTGGTCTGGACAAACAAAAGACACAGCTGGTGTGCAGCAAGCCAGAGGCATATACAGGACTTCAGACACTAGGGAGGTGTTGAGCAGCTGGGCCTATCCAAGCCCTCCACTGCTTCCCCCCCCCCCATGCATGTGCCCTGTCCCTGAGGGCTCACCTCTGCCTGCTGCATTGCAGATGAAGATGCCATCTAAGAAGCTGGCCCATATCCCTGTGTACACACTGGGCTTTGAGAGTCTTCCCAGGGCTTCAAGTGCCACAGCCACAGCCACACAGAGAAAAGACATCTTCCAGTGAGTGTCCTTGTTGTGGGAGCTGATAGTGGGGTGCTCAGTCTCCAGATATCCCACAGCTATGCAAGTCATCTTGGGACTCTTATTATTATGCAGAGTTCTGTGATGCCTTGTAGTCTAGAAGGAAATTGTACTGCACATACAGAGCCAGGAGTCAAGAGCCGTAACCATGTCTCTGGTGTATGGCTTTCGCTGCCTCTTGTTCACTTTTAGTTCACTCATTTCAGACATTCGTGGGGACACCTGCTCTGTGAGGCTTCTGCTTGTGTGGGGAGCAGAGAGCTGGCCCTGGAGGTGGTGGCGCTTGGGGAGGCTCAGACTGAGGAGAGAGGGGCAGGGGCTGGGAGGGGTGGGACAGGGGCTAGACAGGAGGAGATAGGAGATGGGGAGGAGGCAGAGGCTGGGAAGGAGGGGAGAGAGGCTGGGGCAAGGTTTGTGGGTGGAGAGATGGTAACGTCCTAAGTCAACTCTGAGTTTGCCTCCTGCACAGGTCCCTGCAGGGGCCCCAGTGGCGGGGCGTGGAGGAGGAATTCCCTCACATCTATGCCCATGGCTGCCTCCTGAGGGGCGTCTGCAGTGACTGCACCAGCTTCGTGGCGGAGGTGGTCCGCTCCAGCCGCAAGAGCGTGGATGTCCTCAACACCACGCCGCGCCGTGCCCGCCAAACCCAGTCCCTCTACATCCCTTCCGCCAGGACTCTGGACTTGTAGTGATGGCCCTGTGGGGCACAGCGGCCCCACCCCAGCTGTGCATGTACATATATACATATATAGACACATTTATATAATATATACACAGCCTCTATATTTATATGCAGATTCCAGGACCCTCCCTGAGGGAGGCCCGTTCCTCTCAGGATCCCTTGATAAGGTCTGGGGCCGCACATCCTGGGTAGAGTGCAGGTATTTGGGAACTCAGGTGAGACCCCACCACACTCCTCTCTCTTGGCTTTCCCCATCCTTATGAGATGCCCGTCTGGGATTCTCCCTGGGTGGACACCCATGGTAAGAAGAGGCCCAGGTACTCTGTATGTAGCTGTTCTCCCTCAGGGGGTAGGGGTTGGCCATACCCATTCTCCCAGTCTGCTGTCCACATCAACCTGGCCAGTCTCTGCTTCTCTTCAGCCAGTTCAGGTCCAGGAGGGCCTTGGGATTCTTGGCCGTCCTGCTGCAGAAAGAGTGCCACTAAGTCTGTACCCACAGCTGTGCTTGGCCTAATAAAGGTGGTCTCACAGATGCTCACCTGGAGCGTAGTCCGTTCTTGTTCGTCATCTATAGCAGGGTACTAGGCCCTGGAATGTAGGAGCTGGGGTCTGGGGGCTTCCCACCTGCTTGCCCACCAGGACCTGTGCAAAGCCTCCAAGCACATTGCTGGGAAGGAATGAAGAGTACTGGACTCTCCTCCTCAATGTCTCATACACCCGCTTTAGTGCCGAAGCTGGCAAGGCTATAGCAAAAAAGCCAGGGCCTCTGTCCAGGACCTATTTAAACTGCCCCTCCAGCATTAGCTCCCCACAGCCCTACAGCTCTCTGGGCACTGCTGCCGGGTCCACCCTGCTGTGAATGGACTGGGGCTGGAGGGCCTGCTCTCAGTCTTGGGTCCCTGCACTCAATGCTCTGCTCATTCCATGCAAGATGAGGATTTACCATCATCCCACTTTACAGAAGAAGAAACTGAGGTTCAGAGAGGACCCAGGTCAAACCCATTGCAGTCAGGCTGACTCTCACAGTAGCCCTCTCTCAGGTTCTGAGGCTGTAAGATACTGGAGGCAGCTGTCCATCTTCCTCCTGAGTGGAGTGGCTGGTGGATTCAAACTGCTGACCTTTCACTCAGTAACCCAACATGTACTGCACTAAATTGTCATGTCTGTTTAAAGTCCAGAAGCTCAGAAAAGGGAAGGTCTTTGTTCAGAGTCTGTGTAGACAGAGCCAGGTGCACATGGAAAGCTGTGAAATTGCACACACCCCTAGAAAACCATGGACACTATTTGCAGATTCTGACACTGTGAAGGCAAAAAGCTTCCCCCCTTAGACCACTGCTGTCACACTCCAATTGCCAAAACAAATAGCACAGCAGACGGCTTCAACCACCAGAATGATACCCCTCACTGTTTAGAGCCTCAGAGTTCAAATGCAGTGTGCAGGCTCTAGGGAAGCCTTCTCTCATGGACTCTAGAAGAAGGGCCTTAGTACTTCAGAGCTTGTACTTCTGGATGATCTTCATGTGACTTGGCATTTTCCATCTCTGCTTGTTAGTTCTTTCTTGCATCTCAGAGATTGATTCAGGCTAGACTCTAGCTTATCCGTGTGAATGAGGGTGGTCAAGCAGGGCCCGAGCCCCACAAGGGCCAGGCCCAGGAGTAGGAGACGTAGAGTGCAATCTGTGGGCTCACTGTTGAGGTGCCCTCCTTGTGTTGTTCCCCACCTATAACATACTTCCACTTAAAAAAAGATACACTCTACACTAATCCTGTCTCATCAACATAACATACACACACCGATGACAAAAGGAAGTTACTAGGAATCGTTCCATTGGGGTCCAGCAATTTGAAGAGTGCCTAGGTTTACGTTTCTTGTAGTTGGTAAAGAGCTGTGCTGCCGATGGAAAGGCATGTGATTTGGGTCCACCAGCTGCTCCATGGAAGGATGGGCACTCTCCTTCCGTGTGATTTACAGCCTCTAAAGACCTGCTGGAAGGTCAGCTATGAGTCCTTTACAACTTGAGGGCATGAAACATTTCCAGTAGGAGAGCCTCTGGGCAGCACCAACATCTTGTCCTATTGACCTGCTGTGTCTTTGAATTGTGATGTTGGTATACTGCATATCCCATGGACTGCTAAAAGAACAAGCTTGCCTTGAAGGACAACCAGGGCGCTTCTCAGAGGCAAGGCTGGTGGAACTCTATCCCACATACTTTCAAGAGTTTCCAGTCCTGGGCAAAACACTTCTTGCTGGGAACGGTGGAGGATCAGAGAAAAATCCTCATTAAGACAGACTGACAGAGGAGCCGCAACAGTGAGCTCGAACAAGGTGGAGCTCACAATGATGGCACAGAGTAATGTCGCTCTGAGTTCTTGTCGACACAATGTCACCAAAGAACAACTCACGTACAAGCTGGTGGTTCAAACCCAGCCTGCAGCACCGAGGAAGAAAGGCTTGGCGCTGTTTCTTTTAAAGAATCAACCAACATGGTCACCTATGGAAAGATGGAGTCAGCAGGTCAGACTGTTGCTGAGCTTAAAGGGACTCAAGCGGAATTGATACAACTCAATATTAACCTTGACCGCAAACGGACTTCTACTGGACACCAGCACTGAAAAGTCTGCCTAGGTCTCCCTTGTTGTCCAGGACAGCCCAAAGGGTAGCCAATGGGACAACTTGTCTACAGTGATGACATCTACAGACAGAACTTTGTGGATGACTTCTAGGAAGTGGAGCTGGATTTTTTGCCTCACGTGTCGCCAGTACTGGTCCCAGGTAAACACTGAAGTGGAAGAGGACAAAAAAAGGCAGACTAGAGGACTCGACATTAAGGAGTATGATGAGATAACAGCTGAATGGGCTTCTCTGGCCTTGGTTCTACCAAGAAGAGAAGAGGGTAGTCTATGCGTGACCCTTTGCTGAACCAACTCTGTGTGTGTGTGTGTGTTGTTTTCTTGTTTTGGAATTTGGTAAAAGTAATTAAAGTGGCAATTATGAGAGAGAACAAAAAAGAATCAACCAACAATCAAACATCAGGTTTGTGAGGTTGTGAATCTTGAAAGGAGCAGACCGCACATCTTTCTCTGTGACTGGTGGTCTAAACGGCTGGCATTTCAGCCACTATCAGCTTGAGACGCACTGCGCCACCAACACTCCAATACATTAACATCACAGTTTAGGAACGAGGGAACGGTCTCGTTTTGCAGCTGTCGAGTCAGGCTGCACAATGAAGCCTGACATGTCCCACAGGTGGACTATGCAGGGCGGAGTGATGGACCTCTCCTGAACGTCACAGGTGAACCTGGACGGCCTCTCCTTTGAGTCCCAGGAGGAACCCTGAGAAAACAAGTCTCCGGTCCCATGCCTTCCGTCATAGCCCAGCATCAGCCACGACGGCGCCCCGAGCACCGGGGAAGGCGGCGCGGGCACGAGAAGGTGCTGGACTCTCGCGAGAGCTGGTTAGCGTCTCCGCCTCTGACGTCACCTCGTGACGTGGCAGCTCTGGGAGGCTCAGTGCGCAGCTGCGAGACGCCAGCCTTGAGCCGGCCGCTCGCAAGTGCGCAGGCGTGCTCAGTGGCTTCTGGTGCTGTCTGTGCCTTCTCCTCTCCGGACGTCAGCAGCCGTTGGGCCCCATGTCGCACCGGGCCCTCCGGAGACTGAGAGGGAAACAGCGCGGCCAGGAGCCCCTTGGGCCTGGCACCCTGCAGTTTGGCCTCCGTGAAGAGGATGACGCAGAAGAAGAATTGCCAAAAAAGGGGCCAGTTGGCCATTGCTCCCGGCCTGCAGGGAAGGAGAGTGTTCGGGTCAACAACCGGTTCGAGCTGGTGAGGGGCCAAGCGGGCCGGGACGCGCACCGGGGGCGGGGGCGGGGCGGCCCGCGCGGGCGCGGCTGTGACGTCATGCGGAGCGCCGGTCGTGGGGGGCTGGGTTCGAGCAGGCGGGCGGGGCCGTGGGGCTGGGCCGTAGTGGGTGATGGACGGGGCAGTGAGGTCAGGGGCCAGAGGGAAATGTGTTTGGGCCGCAGTGCGGCTGTGGGCAGAGACGAAAGTGTCCTCGGACTGTAGTGAGGACGGTTCCACGTGGACAGGTGAGTTGGCGTGGTGGTGGACCGGGTGGGGTGCGTCCGAATCTGGGCCTGCGCGGCGGGGGCGGGGCTTTAGTGAAGCGGGCGAGGTCGTGGTGCGAAGGGGGCGGGCCGAAGTTGGATATCGGCCACCAGGCGGTTTGGGGCGGGGCCGGGGGAGGGTCAGTACCGCAGCAGGGTGGGCGGGGTTAGATGTCATTGGCATTTGTGAGTGGGTGGGGCGAAGTCGTGTTTGCCCTTTAATGGGGCGGGCCTGTTGGGGGTCCCTGGGTGGTGGGCTTGAATGCAGTTCTTTTCACCGTCCTACCCTCACCCAGCATGTACCGGTCTTGTTCTGCGCTGAACGCCCCCACAGCAGATCTAGGCACACCTGGAAAGAGCCCAGCGAATGTACGACTCAGTGGCTATTCACTCCTGTGTGTGACCCCACTACTCGCAGGAGATAGAGGGCAGTGGTTAGGTGATTATTCAAGGGCTGCAAAGGATATGAGGGGCCTGGGGACAGTAGCCTCCTCACCTTAGCCTCTCAACTTATGTGGCCCGCGGATATGCAGGTGTAGAGCCTGAAAGGCTGAAGTGAGGGCTGTTCCTGCTCTCCACACTCCACTCACCTCTTCTGTTCTCTGAGTGAAAGTGTGCCACTCCCTTATCTTTGTAATTGGCGTTGCATTTTAAGATGAAAACTGTCAGACATAAAAAAAAAATAGGGAAAGTGGTACAGGAGCCCTGTGTGTTCCTCACCCACATCCACAGGTGGCACCGTCATGCTCGTGTGGTGTCACTCATTCTTTTACCTGTGCATCATTTCAAAACATCCAGGCAGCACAGATATAGTCTTTTTCCTTTGAACTCAGAAAAAAAAAGTTGTATTGGGTCAGCCATTAACAAGCAGAAATCAGACTGTGTTGAATTTGATCATTTTCATTGAACTTTAATCAAATGGTAAGCTAAAAAAATAGTCTCCAGCTGTCCAGTCAGTTCCACCTCATGGCTGGCAATCCAGCTTGCAGAATGGAACCAGTCCATGAGCTTTTCTTCATGGAGCAGATTGCCAAGCACTTTTCTGTAGTACGTTGACAAACATTTGTACACATTACCACCGTACCACCACCATCACACCAAGGTGGAGCCCATCCACCCCTGACTCCCTGTACCCCTTTCTGCTCATGCCTCCTGCCTTGCTCTGGTGTCACTGATGCCTATGAGCTCTGTCACTGTGTGTTCCTGTGTTCTGTGTAAGGTTATCTGAGTCATGCAGGATGTGCTCGCTGTAGCTGGCTTCTGTGCAGCGAAATGTGTCTGAGAGTCGCTTTGTGGTAGGTGTGTATGGCTTGATGGCTTTGCTTTTTTCTCTTTGTGAATTGCCTTTCCATCTCCTCCTCCTCTCTGAAGATTTTGATCTCTTTTGTATTGATTTTTAAGGCTTGTTTAAACTTTTAGAGCTCTTGTCACCTAGATTGTGGGGAGTTACACTGCACATCTGAAGGCTGCATTTCTCTGGGCCTCACACTCACCAGGAGCTCTAAGAGGGAAAAATGGGCAATTTCCCATAGATTGGTGTGTCTAGTTGTAGGCGATTTAAATAAAGCTGTTCAGAGCATTTGTGTTCAAGGCTGTCTAATGGATAGAAGATTTTATCTTTTTTGGTTTATATCTAGGAAAAGAACTGTAAAATTGCAAAGTAGATGCGTTTTAACTTGCTAGGAGATTGACACACATTCTTCCAAAGAGATGGTAGCCATGTTTTGTTGAATATGCAGAGGCATTTGATTGAGTGATCATAACAAATTATGGCTGGTATTGAGAAGAATGGGAATCCCAGAACACTAAATTGTGCTTGCAGCCACCCTGCAGAAAGGTTACACCATGATAGTTGCACATGCTCTTTTCAGCACTCTCTGCAGAATTTTGTTACTATTGTCGCCTGATCCAGGCCATAGTCATTGCAGTTGCTTGCTATGCGTCAGAGAGCTGGACAGTGACTAGGGATGATAGAGAATTGATGCGTTTGAACTGTGGTGCTGGAGAAAAGTGTTGAGTATATCATGGATTCCTGGAACAAACAGGTTCGTCCTAGAGAGGGTGAAACCAGATTGCTCCTAGCACGCAGATTCTGAGGCTTCGTGTGACCTACTTTGGGCATGTCGCAAGGAGGGATCAGTCCTTGGAAAGGAACATCATGCTTGGAAGGGTGGAGAGACAGAGAAGGAGAGGAAGATCATTGATGAGATGAATTGAATCTGTGACTGAGGTAATGAGGGTAGGTATGTTGGATAGTAAAGTTGGCACAGGATAGAGCAGGTTTCAGGGCTATTGTACATGAGGTCACTGTGAGTTGCAAGTACTCAAGGGCATATAACAACCATTGAATTGTTCTCAAGATGGTAATTTCTGTGCTTGCTTCGGCAGCACATATACTAAAATTGGAACGATACAGAGAAGATTAGCATGGCCCCTGCGCAAGGATGACATGCAAATTCGTGAAGCGTTCCATTTTTTTTTTAAAAAAGATGGTAATTTCTTGTTCCATTTTGCTGTTTCTGTGTTAGTGAAATGTTCCCATTTTTATTGACTTTGGTTTCCCTCCTCTTTGTGAATTACCTTTTCAGATTCATTACCTTCTTTTTGATGGTTTTTACCCTTTTTTGTTTGTTTATACCTTTTCCATGTTAATTTTAAGGACTTGTTATATGGCACCATATATCAGCCTGAGGCAAAGGATCCCTTAGTGGCATCCATGCTGTCAACATACATCTTTGTCATCACGTACCAGTCTTCACTACATTCCCAGAAGCCTCCACTTTCCTGTTTTCTTTTATGATTTAAGGTTTTCAATTTAAAGCCTCAATCTGTTTGATATTCTCTATTTGTGCTGTTTGGTATTGTGTTAATTGAGGGAACATGTAGTTTATTAGTTGATGGTACCAGAGCCCTAAGGTTGGTAAGAAACCGTTCTGGCATATGTTGTCAGTGTAGTAAATGAGTGAATGGGTAAAGTCATCACTTGTCATGATGACATTCTGTAGACTTTTACCAAGACCTTTAATGACTTACATCAATCCTAATTCATTACATGGGAGGATATTGCCCGTCTTTCTCCTGCAGAGCTGCTGTTGGATTGGAACTGGCAACCTTTAGGTTAGTAGTGATGCTTCCTGTAGACCACGCCCTATAGTCATAGAGCTCCGTATAAATGCATTTTGCCCTTAGATCTCAAATCCAATAATAATACGGTAGGAATGTTTGCTAGTCTTCAAATGTGAAAGGTAGCTGTCAGCAAGCTGAGTGTACACAACATTAGACAGCTGCTTACCAATTGTGAGAGCAGCATATATGGGAGAAATGACACTCAGATACTGGGTACAGAAATGTCAGTTAATATAGGTCATTTGAAGGACAGTCTGATTAAGTCTTAAGTGCCTCAACAGTTTTTCTTCTGGGAATTTACTGAGGAAAATGTTTAAGATTTGTACAAGGTGCCCAGAAGTAACAACAGCAGCAAATACCGGTGAACCCTCATTGTCTTTGAGTCAGAACCAATGCATAGCTGACCCTTCAGCAGATTTTCAGAGGCTACAAAATACCACAGGGGCTGGTGGAGTTGAACTACCTGCAGTGCACCATCTCACCGACAAACTACCTACCTAGCAGGAAAGAGCTGTTTCGTTAGGGGCTTTCTACAGCAGTAGCACACTGAGCTGCTATTACCAATGATGCCATAGGGTGGACCTTGTTAATATTTCGGATGCTTATATCTCTTAGATGATTTGATTAAAGCCACAGAAATACACTAAAAAAACAAAATCGGTATGTTTTTGCATTGAAAAAAAATCTGAAAATAAGGATAAAAAAACTTTTTTAAAGAATTGTATGTAATGTGTCTGTGTCGTGCAAAGTACAGTGAGTGCCTCCTGCAGTTAATTGGAATATAATTTAAAAAATTAATAAAAAATATTTTTCTTTCTAAATAAATGTCAGTGATTGAATGGTTGGAATAAGGACTTGAAATCATGCAATGATTTTTGAAATTTTTCAACATGTATGTCATCTTTCTATGACATTTGGTTGATTTTGATCCTTGTTTTGATGGCAGCAAGAGAAAAAACCCTTCATTTACAATTATTTCATAACAGATCTATAATTCTTACAGATTTCTGCTGATCAGGGACTGATTTGGTGAGGAAGAATTTTATTATGATTTTCTATAGGTTTGAGGCATTGATTGTTAATGATGGAAGACCAGATGAGTTATGGGATGACATCAAAGATATCCATGAAGAGAGTAAAACATCATTATAAAGAAAGAAGAGGAAGAAAAGACTGAAATAAATGATTGTCAGAAGCAACTCTGAAAATTGCCCTTAGAACATCAAGAAGCCAAAACAAAGTGGAGAAATGCTAAAATAAAAGAGATAAACACACACACTCTTTCTCTCCTTTTCTGCTGACAGCATGCTGTAAGGTTTGGTTTCAGCCTTGTTTTTCTAGGGATCCTTCCCCCCCCCTCCCAATCCCTTTTCCCTTTTCTTTTTACCGTTTTCAAGGCCTACCTACCATTCACTGGCTATACATCTGTCCTAATGCCATAATAAACCTTTTTCTCTAAATTGGAGGGGGAAAAAGATGAACAGATTGTTTTCAAGGGCAACTTGAGAAGACAGCATTATAATGGAATGTGCAAAGAGCTAGCGTTGGATAATAAAAAGGGACAAATTCGCTCAACATTTCTAAAGTTGAAAGAACTGAAAAACAGACCTCGAGTTGCAGTTCTGAGAGATAACTATCCAAGTTCAGGGCTGCATCTGTTTATTGCAGTATGTCAGTCCACCGATACACCATCAATTCCTGGGGCTTTAGTTTTTGCAAGTTTTTTCAGAGCACTTTGAAAATAGTCTTTATTTTGGGGTTTTGTTTGTTTGTTTGTTTGTTTGTTTTAATTTTGTGTGTGTATGCGTGTACTGTCAAATCAGACCTGACTGGTACTGGAGGAGATTGTCCCTCCTTCCCCGGCAGAGCATCTGGTGGATTCGAACCATGTGCCTCTGGGATTGCAGTGCAGTTTCTTGCCACTATGCCACCAGAGCTCCCCTATTTTTGGTTCTTGATCATATGCTACTTACTGAAATGGTTCTGTGTCATCAAGTTCTTTTTGGTACAGTGACTCCATGTCACGTCCCATCTTCTTTTGATGGTTCCTGGATCAATCAGGATTTTGCCCATAGTATCTTTAAAGTTTTTCAGTTGAAGGCTTGAATTTGTTCTTTGGTTCCTTCAGCTTGAGCAATAAGGAGTGAGCTCTTCCCTTTTGATTTTCTGACTCCAGCTCTGTGCACATTCCATTATAATGCTTTGTCATCTTGTGCCGCCCTTTGAACTCTTCTCTTCAGCTCTTTAACATCCTCATTTATTTCTTTTGTTTTGCTGCTGCTTGACATTCTAGGGCAATATTCAAGTCTCTTCTGACTCCCATTTTTGTCCTCCCCTATCTTTGTAATGGCCTTTTGCTTTCTTCATAGATGATAGCCTTGCTAGCATCCCACAGCTCATCTAGTCTTCATTCATTAGTGCTCAATGGTCAAGCCTGTTCTTGAGATGGTCTTCATATTCAGGTGGACTAGACTCAGGGTCATATTTTGGTTCTTGTGGATTTTTAATTTTCTTTAGCTTCAACTTGAACTTGTATATGACTAGTTGATTGTTCCACAGTCAGCACCTAGCCTGGTTTTGATAGCTGATACTGAGCTTCTCCAACAAATCTTTTCACAGATGTAATCAATTTGGTTCCTGTGTGGAATTTCCAAGTTACAGGGAAGGTATGAGATACATTTAAGTATTCTCTGGTTCTTGTGGACATCCCACGTGAATTCAGAGTCTGTCTCCAGAACAAGTTTGTTTTACTGAAAAAAACATGACTTAAATTCAGTGCACTTGCATTTTTAAACTGATATCATTCCTTTGTAACACCTTGTAGAGATCCTTGACAGATTTTCCCAGTGTAACATGTGTTCTTATTTCCTGACGGCTAGTACAAAGGGTATTGAATGTGGATCCAAGCAAGGTTAAGTAGTTGATTCTGAATCTTTTCCCCATCTGTCATGATGTTGCCTATTTGTCCAGTGGTGAGGATTTTTGTTTTCATGGTGTTGAGTTGTGATCCATTAAGGTCACCAGGGGATGCATCTGAATAGCCTTGAAAACACATTGGAGCAACTCCATTCTGCACACCTAGGGCTGCTGAGTTAGTATTGACTTACTAGTAACTACTGATACAGGTGACCATCTAAAACATGACACTGAGAATAGAGCTGGATGGGGCACATGCAGCCCGAACCTTTTTGTGACATGCTGGGGTAGACAGAGTCGACCTTGTAGAGACATCTGTGGTTCCAGGACATAAGTAGATGTGCTTGGGGAGTAGCACACGGCACCTGTTTCTGGGATGATGAAATGTTTTATGTTTTGGTTAATATGTAAGCTACATACTTAACTGTAACTGCTGAAATGCATTGATCTGTTGTTTATACTTGCATGCAAATTAAGGAATCCTAACATAGTGTATTATCCGTTGGACTGCTAACTGAAAGGTCAGAAGTTTGAATCTAGCAGTTACTCCAAGCGAGAAAAATGTGACCATTTCCTCTCAGATTCATAGTCTCTGAAATCCAATGGAAGTTGCCACATGTTGAATTGACTTGATGGCACTGAGTTTGGATTGGGTACATAAATTATACCCTAATTTTGTTTTGTTTTTAGAGTCAGACCGTACCCCAGATTTTCTAGAACTTCTGCCCAGGATTTACCTAAGTGTTCTGAGTTTTGTCTGAGGGGTGCTGGTGAGCATGGATGTGGCGGGCAGGAGTGAAACCTGCTGAATCTCTTGGGATGTCCCTCATGTGAGACTAGGAAGAGTGGATGTGACAGCCTCTGGACCATGGGGATCCTTCAGGTTGACTGCAATGTGGTGTGGAGGGTGTGACCTGCAGCCTGCCCTCTTGTGAAGATAGAGCACCAACTTAGAGCTTCCAAGGAGCATGTGTTTCTCTTAATATTTAACGGGCTTTAAAGGGCTCACAAAATTGGTTTTCTTTCTGGAGACCTAGGTTTTCCCTGGAGCTATGCCCTGAGAGTTATTATCCTGGGCTGAAGCTATATGAACTCCTAATTGTTTTAACAAGTACTTTTAGTGTCAGTATTGTGAAAGAAAAGTCAGCTAGACAGTCCTTGTCCCTGAGATTGATCTAGGTTAGGTGGCTCTTCCCAGGTCCTTGCCCTGTCCACTCCCACTGAGCGGACAGGATGGGGCAGAGGAAGATGCTTAGCTTGGGGGAGGCAGAATGCCCAGGTGACTGCTGTGTCTTGCTGCCTGTGCTGTCGGAAGAGGAGACCGGGGCTGGGACTTGTTCTGATAAGCACAGCACCATAGTCATTGCGTCTAGCTCAGCTGCCCGTGGATGCCTTTCTGTATGCAGACAGCTGTCTGTCTGTCCATTCCTCCCATCCACCACCTCAGACAAGCCTCAAGTGCCTGGCTGTCCACACAGTCACTTGCCTCTCCTGATGCTGATTAAGTACAGTTATTCATGCAGTCAGTGTAACTCTATGCCTCGCTTCTCCTTTACAGATAAACAGCGACGAACTTGAGGAGGAGCCTGTACTGAACGGGGACAAGCCTGACTCTGTGCCTGCTGACATTGTGGTTTCAGGGAACAAAGAGAGAACCAGGCATGGCTGTACAGAGGCCAAGGGTACTAGAGATGCAATTGGCAAGACAGCAGGTGCTGAGCAGCAGGTATGAGGGATGTGGTCAATCTAGGGGACCAGGTTCACCCAGCCACCCATGTCCCAGTGCCCCCGGTCCAGTATAGCATTATCTATGGAAGAATACGACACGAGGGGTCCCCAGACCAATATCCTTGACAGTGGAGGTTCCACACCAGAGAGGTGACCTTTGTTGGCAGTGTGACCAGCACACGTGTACATTATTCATCATGTGCCTGGGGCTGTTTATGTGGTGTGCTGTCCTGTGACTCTGACTCTGGTAGGAGACACAAGCTTTGAGGGATCTCAGTCAGTGAAGGTGGGCTGTTGTGCCTGGGTTTGATACCACCAACTGAAGATCCCCAGGAAGTGTGTCTGTCCTGCCCTTGGGGACAGCCTTGCAGCCACATCTCCGAAGACTGTGAAGAAGGGAGTTTGAGCCTACTGGGGCCTCCTGGAGCTGGACAAGGCTTTGCCTCCAGGAGTCTTGGGTGGGCATGCTGGACAGAACACCACATCTCTGACCACTGCAGTGTTCTGGATCACACCTCAGGATGAGGAGGCGTTACCCTTCATGGTACACTGGATGCAGGGCCCATGAGGGAAGGTGACTTTTGAAGGAGGGGATTATCATGTTTTTGGGTGGGGCCAGCAGGGCCCAGAGCCTACAGGGACAGCCAGTGTGGGAAACATAGGGCAATACCCAGCCACTGTCCTCAGGAGCCAGTGCCCAGAGCTGGGGTAAGCATGTATGCTGGAGCCCTGAGCTCATCACGTATGGGTGTGGAGCAAAGCCACCTTGACCACAGTCCAGCCAGTTAGCAAGGCCACACTGGAGCACCCTGTTGAACAGGAAGAGGCAGCTGCTGGTTGTGCCTTCCCCTGACTCATGTCCTTCCTTCCTAGTCGGCTCCAAGCAGCAAGCTGCGCAGGAAGAGAAAGAAACACAGGCATAAGAAGAGCGGGCAGGGAGAGGCCGAGGTGCGTGGAGCTCATTGGGCTATCACCTTCCTCTTTGTTCTGTGTCGTCTGTCTACATGGCCAGTCAGAGGGCAGGGGTGAGAAGAGGAAGAACTCTGGAAGTGCTTTGCTGATTCTCTTCGCTCAGTTCCTGGGAGCAAGACCATAGGCACCCCATTTTCCTGGTATCTTTATTCAATGCCCATGTAAATTATGTTTTTCTGATGAGGGCAGCTACTCTTTGTTGTGCTTTTCCTTGAGACTGACCTTGTCGTATACTCTGACCTTGTCGTATACTCTGACCTTGTCGTATGCCTGAGGGCTGGCCTGGTGGTCAGGGCCCATTGTCTCCTCACAGTGCCACTGGGCTCTGAGCTTGCCTGTCCTCCTGAAGTCATAGTCACTTCTGCTTTTCTGAGCTTTTAATTCTTAAAAATTGCTTCTTTGTTTTCAAGTTATGGGTTACTTGTTTCTTAAGTAGAAATATGGAGCTCTGAAGATACAATCCGTAGGGACTTCCGCTGCTCACCCAGAGGTCTTCCCTCATGGGTGGTTCAAGTCTACTAGCACTCTGGAGAAAGATGGGCCCTCTCCTGTAGTAGTTACAGTCTGAGAAGTACAGTGGAGGGTCAGCTAGCCTCTTCCAGTTGAGGTCAATGAATGTTTGAAGTAATAAATGAAATTTAGTGTTTGCTTTTTATTTTAATATTAAATGGTGTAACATTTAAGATAAAGTTTGTGTAGCAAGTAATACGTTGGGACATTTAGGAAAATGACCTGGAAGATATTGACCGTATTGTAGAGAGGATTGAGGAAGATGGCGGCTTGGCCCAGCCCGACCCTCCACCCGTGACCTCCAGGAAGCATGTTCTCAGTGTGGAGCACAGGTAAGGATGCATCATCCTCCCTTCTCTCCCCTCCCTTGCCCTCCCCACCTCTCCCCTCCCTCCCTACCTCTCCCTCCCTCCCTCATCTTTCACCTTCCCTCCCCTTCCTTCCCCTCCCCTCCCCTGATGTCTTCTCTGTTATCAGGAACACATTATTTATTTAAACCAAATAAAAGGGAGACTTGCTGTGTTTTAAAGTAGTTATGGACACTTTCTGATGGCTTAGTGGTGAGGACCTGTGCTGCCAGCCCAAAGATATGTGGTTCAAATCCCCCAGCTGCTTCACAGCAGAAAGATGGGCAGTCTCTCCTTCTGTGACCAGCTGTGGGTCAGTGTCAGTTCCAAATCAGTGGTACACGACAATAACCACATGAGTACCTTATGAAACATTTAGGAAACATAAGCAGGGAGACATCTCCCATGATTCATGGATCTTAGCTTTAGTAGTAGTGAAAGTCCTCTTCACCTTTATCTGAAAAGTTTGTGCAACTCTAATGACATAGAGGTGTCATCCTTAGTCTTACGGAAGCGTAACGAGACCTGGTTCCTCAAGTGTCCTTGCTTACATAGAGACAGTGTTCTATAGCAGACTAAAGCTGGAGATGCTGGTCTCCCAGAGCCCTCAGGAGGACATTCTGATGGTCTCCTCCTGACACCTGAGCAGCACAGTTCTGCCTTGATTCTGGGGTTTTCCCAGGCGGGCAAGTCTGTGTGTCTGCTCCTTTGAAAATGTCTCACCTGGTCTCCAGTGCTTCTGCTGCTGATTGCACATGGAGCGCTGACCTTGTACTGTGCGTGGCACAGACAAGCAGGGCCCCTGAGCACTTGCCACCCTTGATGTGCCTCGCAGGAGTGATGTGGCCTCTGACTTCATGGATTTGAGGAGAGGGGAGCCAGAGGCCACCTCCTTAATGGATCTTCTAGGATCACTGTACAAGTTGACATCATTTTTCTTTCTCCAGACACCTGAATCCAGATACAGAACTGAAGAGGTTCTTTGGTGCTCGGGCAATTCTTGCGGAACAAAGGTGAGCTGAGTGCTTGGCACTGTTTCCAAAAGTCTCACTATTTCAGCAGTTAAGGTTGAGGAAGGTCCAGAAAGACTGGCTGATACCCAACTGTGATGAAACATTCTGATCAAAGATTCCATTGACAAAATCCTGATCAAAAGGGGGGGAAATACAGAACAGGACTGAAAATTGTCATGGATTTTTAAGACTTTCTGGAGCCACGGGGCTGACTGAGCTCTAAGACTGTGTCCCTGAGGTTATCTGGTGGATTCAAACCCTGTATCTTCAGGATTGTAGCACAGAGAATAATACTCTTTGAAGTCTTCCTAAAACCAAATAATATTTTAACTAGTGAAAAAAGGGGAGCTCTGGTGGTGTAATTTGGGGTGTTTTTTTTAAGAAGAATTATTTGAGGGGAGCTCTGGTGGCCTAGGAGCAAGATGCTGCACTGCAATCCCAGAGGTACATGGTTCAGATCCACCAGATGCTCTGCTGGCGAAGGAGGGGACAGTCTCCTGTACCAGTCAGATCTGATTTGATAGTTTGTTGTTGTTGTTGTTGTTTGATGCTGTCGAGTCGTAGACGACTCATGGCGACCCTATGAACGAACAGCCTGAGCACTGTTCGTACATAGAGTTTCCGGAGGCAAGCCATTTTGGAAGTGGATGCTGCTCCTGCTTCTGATTTGATAGTACACATAAAAAATAATAAATTTTTTTAAAGAATAATTATTTGTTTTTTTTAAAGTGTGAGTGTGTGTGTGTGTGTGTGTGTGTGTGTGTGTGTGTGTACCCTGAAATCAGATCTGACAGGTACAGGAGGAGATTGTTCCCTCCTTCTCCAGCAGAGCATCTGGTGGATTTGAACCACGTATCTCTGGAATTGCAGTGCAGCTTCTTGCTAGTAGGCCACCAGAGTTTGCCTGGTGGTGTAATTTGTAAGGAGTTACTCTACTAACCCATTGGCTGTGCGCCTCTGGTGATTCAAATCCATCAGTGGCTACACAGGAGAAAGATGGGCAGGCACGCTGTACAGGGCAGCTTTGTGTCAGTTCCAGCTTGATGGCATTAGTTGAATAAACACAGGTTTACCTTGAGTGTTAAACTCTGTTAAGAGCTGTATATGTGAGACCAGGTAAGTGACAGTAACTTGGAAGATGGGCGATCTGGTGGCCTAGAGGAAAGAGTTACACTGCCAACTCAAAGGCAGGTGGTTTGAATCCACCATCTACTCCTGGGAGAAAGGTCTTCCCTTCTTATAAACAGCCTCTGAAAAAACCTATGGGAGGGTCAGCAGTGGGCTACTTCTGACTCACTGGCTTATAGCAACAACGGGGTGAGATAGGACCCTCTGGAACAGTGCATCTCTCTAAATGGAACAGGAGTATCTCAGAAAAGAGGCGTGAATATGGTTGCACAATTCTGAGATGCATTCATTGTCTTGAATTATGTCTGTTGAATTGGTGTGCATTTTGCTGTGTATATTCCCAGCAACAGAAGAAAGGAGGAAGGGGCATTTAGGGCCAGCTGTCCACACTCAGCTCTGTATTGATGTTTGACTGTGAGACACTTAGGAGGCACATGGAAGCCTCAGTGAGAAGATAGAGCCCTTGAACTGGACAGTCAGGAGGTTGTCAGGTGTGGCCTTGGCCTCCTAGCACTTAGGCTGCCAGCTCTCCCTAACATGTTGATTTTAGATTAAGAAGGTCCTTCAGTTGTGAGAACCTAACCAGGTACATTTCCTTCTCAGCTACCAGCAAAACTGACAGCAGGTTTGAGGTCTGAGCTGTCTTAGAGCATATTTGTTGTTGTTATGTGCCCTCAAGTTGACTGCGACTCAGTGACCCTGTATACAACCGCTGTGAACTTTGTCCTATTCTGAGCTAGTCTCACTGTCTGACACACCTACTCCCATTATCTTAGTTACTATGTCATTCATGCTCATCCTTGTCTCTTCCCTCTCCAAGACAGAACATTTACACCTGTGGAAGTTTTCAGTTCTTAAGAATGTTTAAAAAGCTCCATAAAACTCAAAATTCACACTTTCTTCCATGATTTTCAGTGATCCAAAGATCATTGCAAGGTTTCATAATCTTCTGGGAGCCCATGTATCCAACCAGCTTGGTGTGTGATGTGGACACTGTCCATGCGCTGTGGTGTAGTGTCTGCTGTCTCCATGCAGGGTGATGTGGACACTGTCCATGCAGTGTGGTGCGTGATGTGGACACTGTGTCTTTGCTGTGTGGTGTGATGGTTGTGAACCTATCTTCAGACTTCATAAACCTGGCTTTCTTGTCAGTGTGTGAAGCACTGTTTCCTACTCTGATTGGCCAGGGCTCCTTCCACAAGGTGACCTGTTGACAGAGGTGTGTGCATGTCTGTCCATCTGTGCTCCTGTACCACTTCTCCCTGGCATTGCCCTCCCATTTGGGGATTGGTGTTGCTTGGCCCACTGTGCTCTGGTGATGCCTCTCACCTAAAGTGTATTGCAAACAGTGACAAAGGCTGCACTGTTCTCTCATGGGTTGTCCTGTTTGGACCCTCCTGCTACTGTGTGCTGTGTGCCCCTCTCAGCCACCTGCCTCTCCTTCAGGAACCTGGTCACTGTTTGCACTGCTGAGCCCATCTCAGGGTTGTATCAGTCTTCTGTCTTAGTGCCTGTCTGCAGACTTTTCTGCGGGCCAGAAGCAGCCAGGCTGAGCAGAATGGCTCTGCTTGCAACATCCCTTACTCTCCTTTTGGCTCCCTGACCATGCCCCCTCTGAACCCTCAGGTTCTTTTTTTTTTCTTTATGTATTTTATTAATTTTCATAAACATTTACAGAGATTTTGGGTTTCCATTCATTCATTGTTGCACTTGAACCCTCAGGTTCTGACTCTCCTGCCTTCCTTTCTGATATCCAGTTGGGACAAGAAAAATGTGCCTTAGCATCCTGACACTAACATAGTCCAGCTTATTTCCATTCCTTTTTAAATTAGATAGTTCAGATGATTGTAAAGTAGTGAATAATGGTTTTTAACTGGCACAGGCTCACCGCTCACCTCCAGGGACAATACTGCTGACCTCTTGCACCTGAGGGACTGACCATGCCTCTGTGTTTCTGCCCAGTGCTCAGAGCCAGAAATGCTGGTGACTGAGTTCCTCGTGCCACCTAGAGGTCCTTGTCCTGTCGGCCTGTGGTGGCTGCAGCTATAGCTTGTGGGATAAGGCACGCCTGACCATAGCGTCTGGGTGTGGCTCTTGGGGGTGTGCTAGTCTGGCTTGTTTGTTTCCTGCAGATTTTTGCAAATATTTCCTGTGTTGCTTTCTTGCTAGACTAGTTTGGTTTCTCTTTTCATCTCTGGTGGTTTGACCCTTGAGAACTCTTGCAGCTCCACATGCCTGCCATTACCCTGTCCACAGTTCTTTGCTGCAAACCATGTCTGGGTGCTGTAGGCCCTGCAGCGACCCTGGCCCGGACCTGCCTCCAACTACCACAGGCACCTCGGAAGGTGACACTGACACATGTCTCCCCCAGGCCTCGGCAGAGACAGCGCACACACCCCAAATCCACGTGGCTGACGACCCCCAAGAGTACCTGGCCCCGGTATTCCAGACCAGGTGAGGACTAGCAGCCTAGGTTAAGGGACCCCAGTTGGGATTCTTATAATTTGATGTGGGCGCATCCCAGGTATGGGGGCTACAGACATACTCTGCTCTAAGCCTGTCTTTCAGTCGAATGTGCACACGAATCGGGTGTTAATAACTTGGACACTGCTTGCACTGCTAATTCTAACTTCCGCCTCTGGGACAGCTCCCTGTCGGAGGCAGTTGGGTTCATTATTAGCATCCTCATTCATATTTTAATGCAAAGTAACGAGTGTTTGAGAAGCAGCAGGGGTGACAGCTGAAGGAATGTAGACAGCACCCACATGGGACATTGGGTTGACCCCAGTACCAGCAGCCTTGGGAAGGTGGGAACACCGCAGGGGAGAAGTCCTGGCATTGGATCAGCCACACCCCATCTCTGACTCCCATCATGGCAGACTGGGATTCTGGGAAGAGCCTGAACCCTCTCCCTAGTGGGCTGAGAGGAGACAAGGCACCTCGGGCCCGGGTTCTCTCTGCCAGCATCGTGGGCCCAAATGTCAACCTGACAAAAGCCATGTGGATGTTTCCAGGCTCACCAGGCAAGGTGGCTTCTGGGGTATGTGCCACATCCTTGCTCTTGAGGAACACAAGCAGAGAGGGTGCTACGCCTGGTGTCCACAGTGAGGGCTGCGCTTCTTGGGGAACGCTCCATAGCCAGCAGCCCCCTGACCACATGCTCACCACAGGTCTCTCGATGCGGCTGCTGGAGACCAAGAAGGGCCACTCTTCATATGCATTCGAGCACAGCGAGGAGTACCAGCAGGTGCAACACCGATTCCTTGCAGCTGTGGAGTCCATGGAGCCCAACAATATTGTGGTATGCCTCACTTCCTGGCCACGCTGCCAGCCCCCCACAAATCAACCTGAACACCAGGACCTCAGGGCCCTGTCCCTGGGATGTCTTGCTCTCCAACCCCTTAAGACTTAACTCTGAGCGCCAGGACACCAGGGTCTTCTCCATGAGCTACTTGCCTTGCTTCCAGACTCACCAAAGCACCAGGACCGTGGAGCCCCATTCTTGGGCTGCCTATACCTCATGCCAAACCACCCCCTAAGTCCTCACTTCAACATCTCTGGGACTGAGGCCATGCCCTCAATTCCCATTTATACCTTGTACACCTGCCTGGCTGGTCACCACAAACCCCAGGCCATTGTTCTGTGGGCCAGGGTCTGCACTGGCTGATTTCCCACAGGGAGGCAGTGTTATCTGGGATCCTGTGGTGAGTTGGAGCCTGAGAATGCTGGACTCAGGGTTTTGTTTTGTTTTTTAAATTTATTATTGTGTGTGTGTGTGTGTGTACCGTCGATTCAGATCTGACTGGTACAGGAAGAGATTGTCCCTCCTTCTCCAGCAGAGCATCTGGTGGGTTCAAACCATGCCCCTCTAGGACTGCAGTGCAGCTTCTTGCCACTAGGCCATGGATGATCAGAGAACACCCTGCTGCTCTTGGGTCCCTGCTGCCTGGGCTCGTGTCCAGCCCCTGCTGTAGACGCTCTCCTTTCCCCAGGTCCTGCTCCAGACTAGTCCGTACCATGTTGACTCTTTGCTGCAGCTCAGTGATGCTTGCCGGCTCCAGGATGACCAGGAAATGGCCCGAGACCTTGTGGGTGAGCGTGCCAGGCTGAGCACTACTAGCTGACTCGTGTGCACGGTCGGGTTGGGAGCTTGTGCTATGAAAGCTGTGTGTGTTTATTTATTTATTATTTTTTCCTGAAAACAAGTTTTATTTAAATAAGTTTAAATACATTACATAACATTAAAACCGAAAAGGGTGGGGGGGGTGGAGAACCAGGGCATTGGGCCGCTGTTGCTATCAAGCTGCAAGCTCTATAGCTAGCTAGGACTCATACGTCAGCTTGTTCCCTTGTCAAAAGTTTAACTCTGAAGTTTGCCTCACATCCTGGTGTTTTCTGGGACAGACAAGGCTCCAGGATTATGTCTGGTCAGAAAGAACTAAGACCTTGGTGGCAGATAGATGTCCCATCTCCCTCCTAAGCTCTGCTTGCTTTGCTGGGCTGAAGACACCAGTGATCTTTCTTTTGTTACCACAGCTCCTTTTAGTAGTACAGCAGCCTCACCCCATCCTCTCCTCAGCTCCATCTAGGGGTGCTGAGGTGCTGGGTTGACCTTTTGGAGTAGGGGCACTTTGGGCTAGACATAGCCATCTACGATCGTGGGGATGTGTGTTCGGCTGAAACATCACGTTATTGCTTTGTTTCAGGCAGGGCACTGTCAGGTGCCTACTGCTTGACCTCCCTTTAAATGAGGGACTTCCAGACTAGACAGCATGGCTCTTTTCAGTTTATTGCATGGAAGTGTTAATACTAGTCCAAGGTAAAAGTGGACCCCAAATGGTTATATTGTACAAGCTGTGAAGTTTTAAACTTGTGACAAGGGAGAGAAGGGAAAGTTTCTACTCATTGCAACAAAATCCTCACGTAAGTTTCAGTGAGCCACAAGCACTTAAAACCCGTGAGCCTTCAGCTGGTCGTCCTCAGCCAGTCCAGTCTCTACAAGGAACTGGCGCATGTTCTTGCACTGGTCACCCTGCAGCTGAATTACTTCTCCATATTCTGGATGCTCAAGCACAGGACCATTGCAGGCAAACTTCTTAAACGCCTTCACTAGTTTCTTTTTATCGTGATCATCAGCGACCCCTTGGACAGTTGTAAGGGTCTTCCTGCCGTTTCTCTGTTGGATTCTTATATGGATATAATCCTCAGTCCCGGCAGGAAGCAGGTCATCACCCTTACTTGCATCAGCAAAGGGGTCGAAAGAGTGGAGGTTCTGGATAGCGGACATACGATACGATTCCTTTTCCTCGGTGGAAACGGCCTGCGGAAGGCAGTGGCGGGAGAAGGCGGGCAGGGGGGACGGAGCGTCGGGAAGCGAGCGGGCTCGAGGGGGAGGCAGGGCGGCGGCTCAGTGATTGGGGCCTCTTATGTGGACTTGAATCGCGTGTCTTTGGGACTGCAGTGCAGCTGATGACTAAGCCACCGGAGGTCCACTGAAGCAATAAATGGATTTAAAATTTTACATAACCTTGACTATTCCATTAACTCAAGCACACAACAGTTAAAAACAATTCAGTATATACGTCAGCAACTATTTGTACAGTGAACCCTTGAACGAGGGCATCAGGGGTACTGAATTGCAGCTGAAAGTCCAAGTATGATTTTTGACTCGCCAAAAGTACTAGTAATCTGTTAACCACAAGTTTTACCAAACACAGGAGTCAATACATTTTCTGTATGTTTTATATCCTGTACTCTAACATTCAGGGGCTCTGGTGGCTATTAATAGAAAAGTCAGCAGCACAAATCCATCAGCTATGCCTTGTGAGAAAGACGGGAGGTCTCCTGTAAAGACTGAGGGTCTAGGCACCTGAGGGATTAGCATCTTTCAAGGCAAGAACAGTCCTGGTCACAAACCCAAC